TATTCAGATAAAATATAACCGTGCTTCCCAGAATAGAATAAGAACAAAGTCAGCACTATCAATGGTATACTATACCTTTAGATATAATCCTAAAAGTTCAAAAGCTTTTTGCCATTTTGTTTCACAACTGCGGTATGGTATAACTCCACCTTTTTTATTTTTTATTTTTTTTTACTTTATACCAGCATGTATTTATTAAAAGTTTGTGATTATTATACAATTCTCTCTTTGTATTGCATTCCTTTTTTTTATATTTAATTTTTTTTTATTTCAGATAATTAAAAAAAGATTACATAAATTTAAAAATTTGTTTACATAAGTTACCTGTTGCATTACATGATAATATTTCTCTTGGAGAGCTCTAATTTAAAATTATAGTACAAGACTCCACCATTGTTTTGCCGTTTCACTACTTGCCACAATCAGCCTCACTGCCAGCATATCAAACCAGGCCCATTTTCCATCAAACCTGGCCCAACTACTATCAGGTGGATGTCCTTCAAAAATCAAGTTGGCATGGTTACCAAAGCCTAATAGTTGCCATGGCAACCGTAGAAATGGGGTAAAAAATGGGAGCAAAAAAGCACCCAAACCCACCATTTTTTTTATTAAAAAACTATATTTCAAATCAAAAACATATATACAGTACAATTAATACATTTACATATAAAGGTTACATGTTGTAAAATGATTTTTCCCTATTATCTATCATTTTCAAAGTTTCCTGCTCATTCAGCAGATCACATTTAAACATATGGATAGCTATTTTTATAATCACACTTTTAAAATATTTTTCTTGTGCGAAATTTTCAATACCAAGTTTTTGTTTATCACTGAGACAATTACAATCACAGGTGTTCAAAATATTTAAAACTTCTTTACACTTCAGAAAATACATGAAATAGTGCATATCATCATCAATTTCATTATCACAATATTTACATTTATCTGAATCTTGTATTTTACACTGTTTGAGATATTTGCCACTTGGATAAATTTTATGGATAATCTTCCATTGGATAATTTTGAGCTTATTATCTTTTGTACAATTAAAAAGTGTGTTCCACACATCCTTACTTATCAATGTATTATCATATTTAATATCACATTTTCTTGCCAAGACTAACTCTGATCGTATATACTTTGAATCTGATTTACAAAATTCTCTATTTACAAATCTCAAGTTGTTATTATTCTCTTCATTTCCATACTTTGTAATTAACTCTTGTTTAACACATGCTTTTAAAATATTATACTGCAGCATGGTTTGTCAATTGCGCTGTACTTTTTGAACTATGACATTATATGAACATAACATTCCATCTTTAACAATATCATTTATATAAATTACATCATTTTCAATCCAATGTTTAAAAAATAATGGTCCCAAACCATGGTGGGTCACGTGCATTATCTCATGGAAATGGGCATACCAGTGCAAAGATCTTTGTTCCGTGATAAAGGAAAGCTATCTAACATTGTCTGAAGAGCATTCTAATTCTACTTTTAACATGGCGACCTGGACAACATATAGCCATTTGGGCGATAATAGGTGATTCTAAAGTGAAAATGAGTGCTTTTTTCGTAGCTTTACTTTGACCAAGGCTTGCAAAAAATTGAAGTGATAAACCTTCCCCCAATTTTTGATATTTTTGTTGTCTAGAAGTGTTCTAGATGATATCAAAGTTTAAGAAAATTTGTATGTCTCGAAATATTTTGAAAATAAGTGCCATTATGGCGGGTCTGGGTGTTTTTTGCTCTCATTTTTACCCATTTCCAAGGTTGCCATGGTAACTCATACCTGGCAACCTACCGTATTTTTACCGGCATCTACCATAAAATATTCGTTTTTCGGTAAAAAAACACAAATACCGTAAAAATTACTGTTATTTCCTGTAAAAACGACCGTAAAAAATCTACTGTAATTTTACCAAAATCTACCGTACAATATTTTATTATAATTCGATTTTTTCTATAAGAACAGCCTAAAAATATACCGTAAATATTTGAAAACTACAATATTTCTGCTGGAATTTAAAGTATTCTTGTTCAAACTACCGTAAAATCTACCGTAATTATCATGAAATTCTGAAAAATTGAATTCTTCTCGTATTGCCCTTGTAAAATTCCATTACCAACCCAAAAATAAATAGGTGCCGGCAGGTCTTTGATAGTGGTTGTTGCGTACTTAGTAAGTAACTAAATAAGCTGGCGTGTAATCAGTCAACACACTGGGGAATATCACGATGCAAAAACAGTGTTCAACTGTGTATCACAGGAAGAGTAATCATGATTAATTTGTAAAATGCTACATTGTAGCAATGGTATGAGTATGATGTCACACAGTACAATACACTGGGGCCTAACTGGCGTAAAGGGGAGAAAAGGGCAGATTTTCCACATGGGGACCACATTTGACTCAAAATATTTGCATTTAGCAACATACATTTCAGTACATTCTGTGTAATACTTGAAAGGCATTTTGCATCTAAATTTTTTGCATGAGATGTCTGAAGTTGATGACCCAATTTTAGGTCATTTTGGCCAGTTTTTAGAGACTCAGCCCTCACCTATTTCCCCAAATATGACTAGATTTTGTAGAAAATGTGTTAAAAGTTTGAAAATCCAGCTGTTTTGAGCATGAAATAACTCAATTGTTTGAAAAAATGCTGAATGAGCATAAATTATCATGGTAAAATTTTTCCATTTTTGGATATTAAGGTGTTACTACGGTAAATACCACTTCCGGGTAGGACAGTGTTTTTTAATACTTAAAAACGAAGCCATGCCAACTTCAATGGTGTGCATAGTAGGTTTAAGGTGCCATGGAAGTTAACAGGAAATGACGAAACAGGAAGTGAATTTTTTTTTGCATTTTTAGACATTTTTTGAACAAAGATAACAGAGTTCTGGTTTGACCTCCAGTCAATTTAACTATTTCCACATATCATTAACATGACCAGGATCACAATGTGCATGGTCAGAATGACCCTAAACATGATGAAATAACCTTTTTAGCCCTTTGAAAGTGTGACTGAAAAAAAGCTAAAAGTAGGAGCTAGGGAAGGTCACTGAACAGAATCTTTTGAATTTTTCAGAAAACGTGCCCAATATAATGCTCTAACTGATACAATCTTTGAAAATGGCGGTCATAAAAAGGAAAATAGATTGCTTTTCAAATCAGTTTTTTTTCAATTTTTTTCTTTTTCTATGAATGATATCAAATTTTCAAAGATTGTATCATTAGAGCAATACATTGGACACATTTACTGGAAAAATCACAAGATTCTGTTCATTGACCTTTCCTGAGCACCTACTTTTAGCTATTTTTCAGTCACATTTTCATAGGGCGGAAAAGGTTACTTCATCATGTTTAGGGTCATTCTGACCATGAACATTGTGATCCTGGACCTGTAAATGGTATTTGGAACTAGTTGAATTGACTGGAGGTCAAAACAGAACTCTGTTATCTTTGTTCAAAAAATGTCTAAAAATACAAAAAAAATTGTCAATTCCTGTTTTGTCATTTCCTGTTAACTTCCATGGCACCTTAAGTATATGCATTGTGGCCATTTGAGGTATGTATGTAAAGCTGCACTGAGGCCAATTACTTTCTAAATGTGCCATTTTAGAAAGAAATCGCCAAAATATAGTGCCGTAAACTGGAACTACTTTATTCGTTAATTTTCATCGGTGAAGCAGGGATTTTACCTAAAAATGAGTCCCTATGTTGGCGTAGTGATATTTAAAAATCGAGACGTAAATCCTATGTTAAATGTATGGTCAAGATGAAGGTTATGTATAGGGGAACGCAGAAATATAGTTATTGTATGGGCTAATTCGTTCGAAAATGGCGATATGTATCCCAAACTTGAATTTTGTGATTTTTTCAATATTTTTCAATGATTTACCGTAGTGACACCTAAATGGAAATATAAACACTTCCGGTAAATATTCGGTTCAAGTGCGAATTTGGACAAACTTTTGCAAGTTTGACCAGGAAATCACCTTTCATTTGGTATGTTAGTAACGTTTTTGATCGTATTGGGTATGTAAGAATCATATACACAGGCCTGTCAACTGTCCCGCAATTTGCGTATTTGTCACGCATTTGCTGAAGAATTTGAAGTCACGCCAGTTATTTTTGCGTGACAGAAAATGTCACGCAAATACGCATTTTACCTGGTAATTGTCACGCAAATATGTTTCTGTAAAAAAATTTTCAAAATATGTTTATGATACGGTAAAAATACGAACGTCGGAAAAAAACGAACGCAATTTGTTCGGATTTGTCACGCGAATCCCGTATATGTCACGCATGTTCATTGGAAATTTTCGTACCTACCCCCCCCCCCCCCCCCCCCGTTGAGGACATTGGGAGCGTAGCGAGCGCGAAAAATTTGAGGTGATAAAAGTTTAGCAAAGGTGCTCAAACTTTGGCCAAAGGTGTTTAAAAGTTGGCCAAAGGTGTTCAAAATTTGGACAAAAGTGTTCAGATTTGGACTTCGGTGTCCAACATTTGTAAGTCACTCATATTAGGTGACAGCCCTGTATACATGTCGAGTTATTAGCATAAATGTCACAGTTTGAAGGATAAATGGAAATATAACACTTCCGGGAAATTTTGTCACAAAAGCCTTTTGGACTTTTAGTCTCTATATACTATTCCCTATATTTTTAGAATATACCATTGATAGTGCTGACTGTGAATAAGAACAGAGAGATGACGACAGGATGCAGACAGACCGACCAGATGCAAATAAAAAATTTGCACAAGTTCTGGAAAGTGAGCTCAGGTAAAGGCAACAACTCAAGAAATATCTCACTGTAACTGAATTTCTAAATGACCAGAGATTTCATGAATAAATTAAAACGAGAATATGATACGTTTATACTACATAAATCATTTTATAAAGAATAAAACCGAACCTAAGTAAACTTTTTACCTGCAAATATGAACTCTCGCAAAGTCTCGTTGGATAATTTGGAGCTCTTCAAAATAAAAGAGAAAAAAATGTCTGCAAGTCACGACGAACTTATTTCCCAGTTTTCAAATGTTACTGGAGCAGATACAGATAGAGCAAAGTTCTATCTGGAGGCATCCGAATGGAAACTAGATGTAAGTTTAAAGATTCAAGCAAAGTATCACAGGGTTACTCTTTCTTTGCTTATACAATAGGTCCCTGAAATTTTGTATTTTTATTTTTTGTGGGCGATAATATGTTCTGTTGTTAAATTTTCTTTCAGGGGGGAGATTTCCCAAATATGCCCTGTCATATTAGCACGTTCGAAAACAAATTTTATAAACAGGCCTCAATTTGCAGTTGAAATGGATCTTCAAATGTTCACTGTAGTTTTATGAGTATTCTCTACAAGTATGGATCGAGTAACTTCGATACTATTACCGTAGGTTTGAAATGACGATGTTGAACTGATGTAAACACCATTCTCACGATTTCAAATTTAACTCTGCGCATGCGCAGCACTGAGAGAGCATGTGCCCATGATTGTTCACGTGATCGAATCCTGCAATTTGATTGGAGATGATGCAAGAGATGATGTAATGGGGAATCCCCGAATACGATAGAATATGAAAGAATTATGGGAGCTACTCACTCCTCCTGATTTTCTTTGGGACTGACATACATTGACAAGCAAATTAGACTGTCGTTATCTATGAATAGACCGCCGTAATATGATAACCTCCTGGAAAACCTTGGGTTGCATCTCTGTTGCCATTCAACTTGGTTCACCACAAGCGCACATATTATATTTGTAATCTCAATGTCTTCTGAAAATCGATGATACAGTCTGAGTCTGCCTGCGGTCTCAGCTTACTCAGAAGGAACTTGATAAAACTAATCAAAAATACGTTTACAACTTTTTCCAGATATATTACATTCTAATATATTTTTCCATATACTGTTGCAATTTTCAAAGTTGTCAAGGAAATCGTGATAAATGTAGAGTCAATACATCTAAATCCAAACAGGGGGTAAACCCGAACAGGTTGCAAACAATGGCAAGCAAATCATTGGATTGAATAATAGTACCTCTACTACCTCTATTTAAGGTGACATTTAAGTTAATCAAAAGTACAAAAACATGGGAGCCATATTTTTTTGATAAAGTCAGAAGATTTTGTATACTGTTTTCCTTGTATGTGAATGCATTTCCTGACTAAAGAGACACATAAAAGAAAACCTCGCATTTAAACGCATTTTTCATAACTATGAATTGGAGGTGTATGGCTCCCAAAAGCTAGCATGAAGAGTGCGAAGTGAGGCTATTTTTGAAAGTTTCAAGGAGTAGCCTTGCAACAGACACACATTTGCAAGAATTCAAAATTTCCAGATATAGTCTTACCTTACCAAGGAACAACGAAGGAGCACGAAAATGTGTACTTCTTGCATTGTTAGAGTATAATAAAGCTCAAACCATTGTGAATTCTAAATATTTCATGTCCACCATTTTGTTTCCTGGAACTATTTTTTAGTCCAGAGTTATCTTCATTCATGTTTCCATTGTTTATCATTCATAAAGCCTCTATCATGTATCTATCATGATAATTACACTGTAATAGATAAAACATACAAGTGATAATCCATGCCACTTGGTGTAGTCACAAAACTTGCATGAGGATTAATCAGGAAGTCTAGAAGTAGTTCCGGCAAACAAAATGTGGACATGAAATATTTAGAATTTACAATGGTTTGAGCTTTATTATACTCTAACAATGCAGGAAGTGCACATTTTCATGCTCCTTCGTTGTTCCTGGGAAAGGTAAGATGATTTGTGGAAATTTTAGACTCTTGCAAATGTGTGACTGTTGCAAGGCTACTCCTTGAAACTTTCAAAAATTAGCCTCACTTCGCACTCTTCATGCTGGGGATCCATGCACCTCCAATTCATAGTTTGGAAAAATGCGTTTATGTGTGATGTTAACTTTGACATGTTTCATTAGTCAAGATATACAATTCAAGGTAAACAGATTTTAAAAACATGTGTCTTTATCAAAAAAATATGGCAGTCATTTTAAGTACTTTTTATTTAATATAGCGTCGCCTTAATATTTATATCCTGAAAGATACCATATAATGATATATACCAACACTATAACGATAAAATAATCAATTATGATGATTTAGGTGTTTGGAATTACCCCCATGCTCGTGTTTGTAATTACCCCCATGGGCGTAGGGCTATATTTTGAGTTGGTACACACACTCAGGGATGACTGATAGTGTGGTCGAAGGCCGCGCATCGCGGGGGGTCCGGGAAAAAATTTCAAGGACGTTATTTGATGGAATCTAAGCGTTTTTATCAACTTTAAATGTTGACAATGGTAAAAATACAGATACGGTAGGAAGCATCAATAAATTCGCCAATAAATAAACAAACACATTTTTAATTTTTTCAAATTCATTTGGTACGCCTTTGCATATTTACTACCTCTATATAATATTTATATCCTGAAAGATACCATATAATGATATATACCAACACTCTAACGATAAAATTATAAATTATGATGATTTAGGCGTTCGGAATTACCCCCATGTAGCTAGTGTTTGTAATTACCCCCACAAACCCTATGCAAACCCTTTGCAATTTTGAAAAGTAAACCACTGAATATTCTAGTTATTCAAACATTCTGAAGAATTATCAACCCTCAATTAATAGTCTAGGTACACTAATGCATCTTTTGTGCAAGAATGAAAGATGTAGATGATGTGTGGATTCTGTGGATTCTGACTGTGGAATCAGTATATGTTTATCTGAAAATAGCACATGGTCATGAAATTTCATCAAAGTGCACCCTGACCTTAAGTGTTTGGAATTACCCCCATGCTAGTGTTCGGAATTACCCCCTAAAAATCTCCTGTTTGGATTTACCCCCCTAAAATACATTGTAGTTAAAGTGGTATAACCCAGATATTTTGACATTTTATCGGAATTGTTTTCTGCAAATGCATTTTACAGTGTCTAATTCACAAAAGATATATAAAATTATTCTGCAGATGTGCAGTACAGCCAAGTTAACTACTTTTTTTTTTTGATGGGGGTGTTTGGAAATAGACGTATTGACTCTAATTAAAATGTTTTTAAAAGGATTATGCAGGGAGTCGTTTCTTTGTGCAGAGTAATATCATATAGTATCGAACTTCACACCATAAAACAGAGATACAGAAATCAGCCAATTAATTGAAGGGGCAACAAGGCCCGTAGAGAGAAAATAGGAAAATTTTAACTTTTTCTGAGCTATCAAGACAACATTTGGCTTAACATCTTCTTTGACATACCTATTTTCTTATAATGTATGGATAAACTATCAATTTCAGCATTAAGACTTGTGTAAATTCAGTTCAAAGCTTCAAAAAGGGGAAATCCACTTTCATATTTTTAAGATCCAGCATGTTTCAAGAGGAATATCAGCTGAAATGATGTTTATCTAGGGGGTTTCTTTGTAGATAATAAAAATAGATGTAAGTCTTGATGAAATATCCAAACTTAAATATATTTTGATACTGGTCCATGATAGTTGCACTAATTGTTGCAACTTTAATTAGATTATCTCCAAATGTTTCCAATATAATTGGCATATACATGTACTGGTAGTCTATGTATGTTTCATTTCAGGCTGCACTTGCTGGGTTTTTCGACCATGTAGATGAAGGTGACTCAGTTGATCCTGAGCCAATGGATGAACCTGTGGTAATGGACAGCAGTCCCGCCCCTGCCTCTCTTGCCAATCAGGCGACCAGTCAGGGTAGACAGACACAGGCTTCTTCAAGGTGAGAAATACTAACCTAACAGTTCAATGGGGAGAGGGGGTGTTGTGGTGGATATGTCAGGTCTCACTTTTCACTCTTAGTAATGTACTGAACTTGGAAAAAGGAGTTGCCTTTTGGGCAATGGACTGACTGGCACATGTTGAATTGTGACAATCACGTTTTCAACCTTAGTCATGAACTCTGTAAATGTGTCTTTTGATGTATTTGTATGTAATGATAATTTGAGACCCTCATTGCATCATGTATTTGTATTGAGTAATGATCAGATGGGAATTTTGCTGCAAAAGGCAATGTCTGATTTCAAGTAAGACATGAGCCTGAAAGGAGTAGAAAAGGATAAATTCCATGTAAAAGGGTGTATGGTATCTGCTTGCAGGTTTGCTACAATTGGTAGTCTACACCAGCAGTCCCAAGATTCTAGTGAGGATGAAGGGGGGCAAGAGTTTTATGCAGGAGGAGAGCGCAGGTAATGCAAACTTTTAGAAGGAATGGCAGGACCTGTAATCAGCCTACCATCATAAAGAACTCTCAAATATACATGTAAAGGGATATGTGAAAGTTTCTTGATTTTGTTCATGTATGTCATTTTTGAATTTCAACACTCTTAGCTGCATTCATGTATTTGTGGAATTGTTATGGTTTGATTGTCATTTCTACTCTTTTGATAAAGAGCTGTTTGATATTCTCCTCAGTTGTTTTATTGAACATCAGATTCAATTTGAATATCCTAGATGCGAGTAGAAATAATCTTGATTTACGTCATTAAAATTCAGTCAAACTGATGTCATATTTGGAATCTACATGTAAAATCACATCTAGAAATATGGTTTTGAAAAGAGTTTATCAACTTTGGAAATTTAATTTTCTTTGAAAATGTGACTTCTAGGTCGAGGAGATTCCCCATAGCCCCCATGTTGTAAAACCACAAAAATGGAAATATCTCTTCTTGTGTTGGGCAGATAATATTTTCTTTTACTGGACATATTTATATTTGTATAACTGTCAGATACATAAGGGTAATATGAAATGTGAACCACTAAAACTGATGAATATTCAAGTTTAAGGGAATTTTGTAATACCCTGCCATGTTATTTCCCCCGAATCAGCTACCTGGTGGCGAAACTGGTAACTACCTACTCGCATCTGAGTAATTGTATTAGGATTTCTTGGTCCATGATAAAATGGTACATGCACATATTAATTGCTGATATTATTCAATGAAGATCAAATTTTTTATGTTTTAATCCATCTCAACCTAGGCTTGTTTTTCACCAATGATAAAGATGTATATTTGATTCCAGTGGGGAATTGATAGTTGGACCAGGAAAGAAAAAGAACTCAAGTAAACTTGTTGAACAAATGTTTAAATCCGCAAAAGAGTAAGTATGTCAGCTCTTCATGTAATATATGAATGCATGAATTTTCAGAAACTGAATTTTTTGACATGTTATTGTGTTTGTGTGCTAAATAACCTTTCAAATATCCAACTTCTTTTCTCAAATATTATAAAGCTACACATTTGTAACCCTGTAAAATAGCGGAACCCTGTAATAAACCAATCAGTTTTTTGGGGGAAAAAGTTTAAAAATATTGAATTGATCTAACTACTGTAAGTCTTGCAATTTGTTCATTTTCCCAAGCAATTCATCGAATGTTCAATTTGAGCCCTTGAAAATGATGCCTAAAAAGCCAAATTGGCTCTACCTCTACCAGAACTTCCACTGAACTGTATGTGCATTAGCTGTTGTAAATTTTTCTGTACAAGGACATGTATGTTATATACATCATGAATGGACAATCAGATTGTTAATGTGTTTTTGAATTTCCAAGCTTCAAGTTTGAATATTTGTGGATTTCAAGTGACCCCATTTATCTCTTTTCATGTTGAAATATTCAATTCCACAGGCATGGAGCAGAGGAGGTTCAGGCTGGGTCCGCTATAGCTTCACATGGTGCTGGGCCTTCATTTGTGGGTTCTGGTTTCAAACTAGGAGATTCAGAAACTGCTCCCTCAGAGAAAGTAAGAGGGGCAGATGCACCCCCTAAACAGGTAAGTTTAAAGGATCTTATGATCAGATTTCCTTTCCCAGGAACCTTCTATTGTCAGAATTCTATTGATGATTTTAGCAAACATAAAGCATGCACATTTTGATACTAAATTTGTGTTAATTGAACAGAATTTGTTCAAGCCATTTTAGTGAGAATTATTATGACATATTATCGTCAGTCTAGATATATTGAAGAGATTAAAAAGTAAAGTTTTGGAGCTGCAATTTGTGAGATTGTAGACTGCTCTTTGATCCACCTTTGCCAGTGTTTTTGGAAAATATCTCTTATACATTAAATGGAAAAAAATAGTTTCAGATTTGCTTCTACAGTTTCATAGATATGCAATACACATTCATATGTACTTTTATGTCATAAATACAAGATTGGTTCTCACTTTCTTCAGACTGCTGTTGTATTGAAATTTTGGAAGAATGGGTTCAGTGTTGATAATGGCCCACTACGAGATATGACCGATCCTAACAATAAGGATTTTCTAGATTCTGTAGGGAGAGGGTAAGTCAAAAATATGATAGAGTGCTTAAAATATACTGGTAATGAATTGTGAACACTTATGTCAAATAAATTTGAGAGATTGAGATTGTCAAATAAATTGAGAAATAATTTGAAAAACATGAACAAAACTATAATTTTAGTACAAAAACAATTTTACATGTGTCGGAGTGCTCATTTTTATGAGATGACCAAACAGCAATGTCTATCCTTTAATTGTATATATATAAATGTCTAGATAAGAGAGAAATTTTTCTGGGATGTTCAAACTGCTATATCGCATACAAATGTATAATAGCAATTTCAAACTATGACCAAAATGATTTCAAAAGATTCTCCTGTATTTTATTTCATAGTGAGGTGCCAACCGAGCTAACCAATTTGGCCAAAGGGGGAGAGGTGTCTGTTAATATGGAAGATCACAGAGAAGAGGAATTTGTTGCCCCTAAAGTTGTGGCTAAACCATTTACTGGATCTGGACACATGTTAGGAAGGTAGTGCAGATTCTTATCAATGGAACACAAAATGGCCACCTGTTCCTGTGATGAAAAATCATCTTCAGCATCTATTATGTAAATGAGCCATGAGCAGACCTAAGTTGAAAATTACTATAGTAATGTTTTATAATATAAATATTTAGGTTAGAGTTAAGTCTACTTGTTTTGCTTAATGTCAAAGTTCATTAAAACTTAAAAGTATTCCCAAAATTATTTTACTCTTGAAATATTACACTATAAGTGATATCAAACTTGATATACATTGTACAGTTGTGTACCAAGTTTTATAATATTATGTCATATATTCTGTATTTCATATAGTGTTGTACCAACTGTAGTGAGCACTAAGCCAGTTGAACAGAAACATGTAGACTCCGCCAACAATACAGTCGCACTTGATGACTCTAAACCAAAAACACAGATACAGATTAGACTAGCTGATGGTTCAAGGTAGAGCTTTTTATGTCACCTTCGAAAAAGTTGTGACATATTGTTATAGCCACCATTTTAATTTTGTGACTGGCATTGGGAGCTTGGTCGACATATTCGCATGTGCTGACATTTGGTCATACATTTCTACTAATTCCTTGTTATCTTTGGGATATTCAGACTGTACGTACTTTGAAGGATAATGTGCTTTTAGATTTAAAGGGGTATTCCTTGCAAGACCATCTCTCTCCTAATATGGTAGCTATAACCATATACATACTTTGCAAGTTCATCAAAAAACAGAAAAATGTTTTGAAATGGTCAATATTGATCACTTAAAAATGTAGTGCTCAATTCCAGTAGGCTGCCATCTTTTAAAATTTCACTCAGGAAGTGATGTCATCGACTCTCAACTTTGCATATAACATTAGGTAAGGAGCTATTAGAATTACTAAACCAGCTGAATATTGTTTTCAATTTGGTCTATGATTAAAATCCTTTTGATGATCTCTTCTTTAGTCCTAAGTTGACAACTCCTGAAAATATTTTTACACAGAAGATAAGGGCTTCTTGTTTAGAAGTGATTTTGTACTTCTTTCCTCTACTGTAATAGACAAGGTTATAACAGGTGAGAGTCGATGACATCACTTCCTGAAAGAAATCTGAAAAGATGGCAGCTTACTGGGAATGAGTACTACATTTTTAAATGATCAATATTGACCATATGAAAACATTTTCCCGTGTTTTGCTAAATATGTAAAGTATATATATGATTGTAGCTACCGTATCAGGAGAGAAATAGTCTGGCAAGGAATGTTCCTTTAAACCTGCACATCGCTCCAAAACGCAATATGTTGACATATATTGTTTTTACATTTTCAAGCTCTAATATAAAATTTATGTAAATAAAAATTGTTTTTTTCTGCGTAATATCAAAGAACAATCATTTAGTTAAAAAAATAAAAAGGCGAATGCGGGATTCGAACCCGGGCCTCACGCGTGCTCAGCGAGGATTCTACCGCTAGACCACCGTGTTATTATGAATGGTGGAAGTAATTAAACGCTACTTATTTTGAATGCTATGATTCGGAAGTGACGTCACGTTCTTCATTTAGAAACCTTTCCAAAATCATATCGCCAGCTCCGATTGAAGCAATTCAATGAAAAATCTTTGAAATGACACATTTATCGTAAGTATTTCTACACAAGATTTGCCCCATTTGTTCATCATTCTATAATCTTTCATTAAGCTCAAAATGATAAAGTCCACCCCCGAAACAACCCAAGATTGCGTTTCGGAGCGAAGTCCAGCTTTAAACATTACATTGCACAACACCCACTTATGAATTAAAGTATTATCCTGTAGTACCCAGATCACAAAAAGAAAATCCTAAATATCAGTGCCATTTTCACCAGTTTTGTTTATCTATAATGTATTTGTAAGAATGCATAGAATGGTATTTTGGACCCAGTCAAGAAAAAGCTTTTGAAAGAACACTATGTTTAACATATACCTTTATTTTTGATTTTCAAATCACACTATTCAAACATTCTCATTTTTATAACATATAGATCAACCCTCTGGGCTTCCATGGTGCAGACTGCAGATGCATACAGATATCATAATATAGTTGTCAAGACATTTCTCATGAATAGTTTATAAAATGTTGTATTTTTCAGGATGGTGGCAAAGTTTAACAATACACATACAGTGAGAGACATAAGGAATTATATCATAACGTATCCTTTGCAACGTGTTCAAAACACAGAATTTAAATTTTTATTTTTGTTTGTGAAAAACTTTTACGCCAAATTCAAATAAATAGCAAAACATTTTCGTATTTTGTCTTTTGGGAAAAGGGGGTTTAATTAAAAAAATTTATTTAAAAAAACAAATTTAATTTAAAAAACATTCCTTAATGAGAGGGCTCTCTCATGTATCTAAGAAAAGCACTCATGAATTCAGTTGCCAGGCCAGCTAGCGGTTAACCTACTATTTCATTCCGAATTCATTTAAATATAAATGGTACCTGCTTCTATTCGATTCATATTTAAATGAGTTGGCCATAAAATAGTAGATTAAACCATCAGCTGACAGCAGGTGGTTGAATTCGCAAATTCTAGTTCATTCTCATATTGATACAGTTTAAACCATGATTATATCCTTAACATTTCTTTAGAGCTCGACCACAATTTTCAGGAACAAATTTTATTCTCTTAACAACATTTCCAAATAAAGAGTTAACCGAAGAAGACATTAGTTTAGAAGCAGCCAATTTACTCAATGCAGTTATTGTGCAAAGACTTAAATAGTGATCTAACCATTTGTGTGGGTGATGGCTCTGGAATGTTCTTGGTATTAAAGGATGGTGACTTTAAAAGCGCAACATCTGAGAGTATCAGGAATGACCTTACAAGATCTTCATCATTGTGGACATAGGACCTTATTTATGTGTGGATACTCAATGTGTCAAAAGCTAGGAATAGATCTGTTGAACATCATATAGATCGCTGCCAGCAATTTCATGTCATAAAAAATCACACACTTGATAAAGGCCTTTTTAACTCACATTTTATTGCAATATGTTTATTTGATTTGAATGTTTATCATCAACTCCTATAGTTAAAAATGATAGATTAAAAATGAAATATTTCTACCCATGTCACATATCCTTTGGGATTTTCTTGATCAAAATCTCAGTAATAAGAATTATATCAGGGATCCATACCAATTGTATTCTACGTGGAAATAGTAAGCTGTCAGGACACCTCAACATTTGCAATATCACATGTTTGTACATATCTCTGCAATGTACATGTATGTTTATTTATGATGTATCCCAGGAAATTCACTGGTGTGATAAGAAAATAAAGACATTAATTTTGTATTGTAAAAGTATTACTTTTGATTTATAACTTTTATAATTTTATTGTTTTTTGTAAATTGCTCATGTAATGTGAATATTTAAAGCTGTAATTGTCATTCTAGAAACCCCAAAAGCTGACACTGAACAAAACATTATGTCACATTGATTGACAAAGCTGACATTGACCATCTTGTTATGTGACATTGATCTATAAAACTGACCTTGAGAAAAATTTGGGCCCCTAAAACCAAAAATGGGCCCAGATTTTGAGAAATTAAGGCCCATGTTTGATAATTTGGCCAACATATGCCCAAAAGGCCCATTTTTGAGGCCTTGCAAAATATTTGTCAAGTGTCCCATTGTGATTGTGGGATCCATAGTCTCTACTATTAATATCCCTTGAAAGAGAGAAACTTTGGGATACTGACTGTAGACAGTGTTCCTACTTGCCATAAATGTATGCACCAATTAAATCAATTAGAGAGATAAATTGACCATGACTTTATTGGGAATTCATTACCCGCAGTGGCTGAGTGGTAATGGTTACATAAGTAGACAAAGGCTATACCATTTGCATTCTTTCGACTTCGCTTCTTAAAAGAGAGCTTCATCCTCCCTCTTTCAGTTTACAATAAATCTCTGAACTCACCGAGCCATTCAGAGTCCGTCATCAAAATATGGACAACTTTCTGAATATGGAAATTTACTCTGACATCACTGCATAGTTAATGAGCACGCATTTAGCATGTTTTCCTTTCAGCTCGCTGATTGGTTGAGAAATGATCAGCGTGGTAGGTTTGAAATGATTTATGACTTGGGCTGTCATGGGCATGGGGGTGGGGCTACTAAACTGTAATATGGTTTTTACTATGCCAAGGGTAGTTCATAACTAGAATCTGCACCAAGGTAAAAAAAGGCAAGCCTAATGAGTGTGACCACAAAAAGCAAGCAAAATATTCCCTCACAAATAATTCAAGTAAATATTTTAAACTGTAATATAATTGTTAGTTTTTTATATATAAAAACAAGAATCACAAAGGAAAGAGAGTTTTCTATGATATCAGATTTATGAAACAAAGTTTACAAATAAAATAAAATGGGAGAATAGGTGACCCCTTACTTCGTTTGCACAAAGCTATCTCTTGGGAGATCTAAAAGATGGCCATGAGCAAATATAATAAGTTGACCCTTAGGCAGTTAGGTGCATCATTCAAATATTAAGTGTTTATTTCTCCACATTCCACTTGCAACGATTTACTTGGAGAATGCGCTGGGTATGAACATTTTTTCTATTATGATAAATCAGGGTCTCTCACGAGCTTTAGATGAAGAAAGCCAATAAATCAGAATGATATATTCCCGGGCATATATTGTCCCATACTTTTGCAGTTCAAATCCCCGGGTTTTAGACATTCATTTTTCGTTTAGTACTACTACCTCGTTTACAGAAGATTTTCAATTTAAATGAGGTCAAAGCGGTTTCTCACCTGAATACTTTGTAAGTATAATTATCCTTCTTAAGAAAATATTCAGGTAGGAAAAGTTATTAAATACTATTGATATCATAATATTCAGGGTTTTCGTAACTTTTGACACGTGCAAGTATCATGAATTACGTGAAATCAACTTGAAACTTTTCAAACTTTTGGTTCATTATAAAATGGCGTCAATTGATAGGAATTTCTACTTGATAATTTAGAATTAGAATTTACCCGAAAGCTACATATTAGATAGCTAGTATCTATCAATCTTTTCAGAGCATTTCAAAATAAATTTTCTCATCATTCTGTGGTGTATTTTTGAAGATCTGTGTCCAAATACCTTGATTACAGGTGTGAGTAAATACAGGAAATACAGGTATTGGTAAGAAAATTTTAAAGTGAGTCATATTTGATAAAATTGGTGAATTTTGAAATATAGTCACCAAAACTAACATTCCCCTGGGCAATAAAATATGCATAACTTAGTGACAAAAATTTAATTAGAGTCCATTTCACTGCTTCATTTCGTCAGTAGAACGGCAAAAATAAGAAATTGGGAGACCACTGTGCAATAATATATGGAAAAGTATATTCATAATGTACATGAATGACATTTGTATATCTTGGATTGCTTCTAGTTTGGCTTATAAAGTGTGTGGCCTCTTATATTTAGATGTTTCTCTGCCATGTTATTTTCAATAAGATTAACATGGCTGAAATTCTTCAAATTACAAGACGGCACAGGCTTATTGCACAAAAAACTAAAAAATCTGAAATATACAAATGTCATTCATGTACATTATGAATATACTTTTCCATATATTCTTGCACAATGGTCTCCCAATTTCTTATTTTTGCCGTTCTACTGACGAAATGAAGCAGTGAAATGGACTCTAGAGGGGGTTTGGCTTGTGGTAGTAAATTTGTCAGGCGAGTCAATAGAGGGGCCAATAGACAACCGTAAAATTTTAATGTTTGGAACTACAGCCCATTTCACTGTTTTATTTCGTCAGTAGAACCCCAAAAATAAGAAATCAGGGGACCATTGTGCAATAATATATGGAAAAGTATATTCATATTGTACATGAATGACATTTGTATATTTCAGATTATTTAGTTTTTTGTGCAATATGCCTATGCCCTCTTGTAATATAAAGAATTTCAGCCATGTTAATCTTTTTGAAAATACTATGGCAGAGAAGCATCAAAATATACGAGGCCACATACTTTGAAAACCAAACAAGAAGCAATCAAAGATATACAAATGTCATTTATGTGCAATAGAAATATATTTTTTCATATATTATTACATAATGATCTTTTGATTTCTTATTTTTTAGGTTTTACTGACGAAATAAAACAATGAAATGGGCTGTACATAAAATTTGAAATGTTTGGAACTAGCTACTTTCAATTTAAAAAATAAGCAATCGAATGACTATATTGCAACAGTATATGAAAAAAATGGAAACATATGTACAAGTCCTAACTTTTGTATATTAAATATTATTGCTAAACTACAAAACAAACTAAAATATACAAAAGTTAGGACATGTACAAATGTTTCTATTTTTACATATTCTGTTTCAGTTAATGGTCCTTAAATTGCTTATTTTTTAGATTCAAAGTAGTTCCAAACGCAACAGTATATGAAAAAATGGAAACATATGTACAAGTCCTAACTTCAGATAGTTATGTATAATGTGCAGCAAAGCTGTGCCCTTTTGTAATTTAGGGAGTTTCAGCTATGTGAATTTTTTCGAAAATAACATGGCAGAAAAGCATCAAAATATAAGAGGCCACAGATATGATAGCCAAACTACAAAACTAACTAAAAAATACAAAAGTTAGGACATGTATAAATGTTTCTATTTTTACATATTCTGTTTCAATATGGACCTTTAATTGCTTATTTTTTAGATTCAAAGTAGTTCCAAACATTTAAAATTTTACTTTAGATGCTACCATGGTGATACTACCTTCTTAATCTGAGTTGTTTTTAAATATTTTATTATCCTCTCGACAACCCAGACTGACGAAATGACCTTGAAACCAAGAGTGACGAGATAAGCGCTCAAATTTTTTTTACTGAAATTGGTCTTACTAGAACAATTTTCATCCAATTTACACAAAAATTGTTTTAAAATGTGTAGAAATGATCTCTGCTGTCTAATTTTATTAAAATGAACAGCACCTGTTGTTGTAAAACTTCTCTGGTTTCAATCGATTTTAGAATTTTATTAAAATGAGCAGTATGTACTTGTTTGAAAAAATTCTCTGGTTTCAATAGATTTTAGATCGTGGCATTCAAAAGGTTACGGAGCTAGACCAAATCTTATTATAATTATACGGGCCCCTTTGATAGAAATGTTGAAGAGATAACATGACTTTGGTTTAATTTTGAAATTTTACAACATGGAAATCACAACATTTTTTAACCCCAAAGGCATCCTCACTTTCTATTTCTTGATTCTAAAGAAATTCTGGGATTTTTGTTTTACTAATCCTTTTTTTGTTCATTTATTAATCTCTAAAAAGTTTCCAAAAAGGTTCCTACTGGAAAACATTGTTTTGTATAAAGAAAAAAGTTAGTAGGACTATATGTTGTTTATAGCGAATGTTTTTACTTTGTGACATGCAAAACATTTAACTTCCCATTTTTTCCAATCCTGATTTTTGCCTTTTGTAAATATTATTCGTTAATGGTTTAGGCAAGGCTGGGATGAGTCAATAAAAAAAATATATATATATGAAATAATTTTATTCAATCAAATACCACCTATACTTTGACATACCTCTATTCTTCTTCTATCACTTTTATAAGGATGTTTTGCTTTGATTTGTATAAAAATTCAAGATTATTTGAAAAACATTTTCAGACATTGGGTAAATCGCAAATGAGAATCTCTACATTTTTCCACATTAGCAAGATATATTTATGCTCATATCTATTTTGTAGGGTCATTTCATCATAGAGTCACTGCATGTAAATGTATAAATCAGATCTCAAATGGATTCTGGTAGATTCATGCTAATGATTATTTTAGCTGTTAAATTGTATATGCCTATCGAGATTCGTATGTTCAAATTATCAAGTCTTTTGAAGGGCATGGTCTATGGAATGATGTGTTCACTATATGCAACGATCAAAACTGATACTAGTAGGTACTACAAGCATACTAGACATTCCTAAACCTAGAACATGAAGAACTACTAAACAAGTCACATATAATCACATTCAAAGTCAGCACATACTAGGAGATGTTATCATGGAATATTCCAGTAACCATGGTGACGAAGATAGTATACAGTTACAGTTAACACCCAGAACATCTCCTACATACATCACATTACTGTGAGTGTCATTTATGGATGGTTTCATTAGTGAATATACTTAGAACCACTGATAAGATAAATTTAACACTCAACTTGAATATTTTTCCAGGAGTTTTTTTTCGAAAAGCTGTAAACAAGATTGTTGTTCATCTCTATTCAGATAGGCTCAGATAATAGTTGTGTATCCTAATACCCAGACTCTATCAGTAAAATGATATCCTCTGAGTGTAGGTTAACTCTCATGGATATGCTTAGTCTAAAATAGTATAAGCTTTTATCTCTAGGTCAGGGTCTCTAGGCCAGGGCTCATTTGTTCCCAGGAGCCAAATCTAAATTTGTTCCTTAATATTCTGATAATTAAATTTGTAGATACGGTCATTATGGCATTATTTCAGTTGTCTTAGTCCAAAGCAGTACTTTGGTCAACTAATATTGATGATCCTTTTTCTCAATGATATAGCTAATTATGTGAAATTATAAGGATTTCTTCAGATCTGATGCAAAAAACTGTGTATTTAGGGTCAGGAAAACCTTAAATTGTTTCAAGCGGCAAATCAATTTTCATCTTCATCAACACATAAGAGCCTATGATATAAGGACCTATTTACTATGTTTAGGAAAAGATGTGCGCTTGGAGTCTCATCACTAGTATCATGTATACTGAAAAGAATCAAATTATGAATGGAATTATACACTGTTGTAGAATCTGAAATCACAGTCAGGCCAAAGTATTTTAAAATATAAACAAAACATTTTTTGTGTAGATTTACATGCTCCTGCATATTTGATTGAATATGTTTATATTTTAGGCTACTTTGGCCTAACAGTGTATGAGTGCATTGTTTCAAATGTACATGATACGAGTGACAAATCCCATAGCCACAGACAATACATAAAATAAATTCTGTAATGGCTATGGGTTTTGGAATGATATTTTTGTTTGATGGTGTTTTCTGTTTTCTTAGAATTACTTAAATTTCAAAAGTAACACCTTAACAGACATCTCTATAGAAACCTGGAGTTGCTAGTAGCAACCAGCAACAAACACTATGTTATTCAAACCAAATCCAGGTACGATAGAATCTGAGAAGCACAGGTTTCTAAAATAAATTCCACATTCTTGATGTAAGATGTGAAGCCTCTTACGAGGTAAATGTGAAAGTTTAAAGGTTACATTTGGTGGAATCATTTTTGGATGTTCTTGTAGCTATATTTACAAAATATGCATTTCATATACATTACAAATATGACTATAAGTATAATTTTGAGTTCCATGAACAGTCTTGTTTCATGACTGGGTAGAATACAAAGTTAAGATATCATAAGTAGAAGATGTATTTTGCTTGAGTTATTTTCACTTTTCTTCTTAAGCTTTGGAAATACACTAACAATTGTATGCAAAGGTAAAAACATTCTTGTTTGAATTAACCTGTACTGTATTTATTCATTTATTATCAAATCTCCATTTATATTTCCAGTTTACGAGTAAGATAGTACCAAGCAAGAAGAAAACATAACATATATCCTAGTGGATATAGGAAGTCATCACCATGACGACTGAGGGATTCGGGACGTGCTTAAAATATTGCACATTTGTGTTTAACTTGATTTTCTTCGTAAGTGAAAATTCTTCTTGGGTAAAAGTAAATTATTTTCATGTTACAAAAATTAAGAATACACATACTGTATTTTGATATTTAGATTCATAAATGTGTTATTCTTTAGAATATTTTAGATTCATTTACATTCTTTAATATATTATAAACATTGAAATAGGCAAATCATTAATAGTAGGCGAAGGTTTGTGATGAAACCCCAGGGGTGCCATTATAATATTGGACTGAGTCAAAATTATAGGACATAAATAATAAATTTTAACATGGAAACAGTTGCAGAATTCTTGAAAACCACAAATTTGGTAGAGAACAACTAAAGAAAACAATCGTCTATTGCCTGTTGCTTATGACATCTCACTGGGATTCAAAGTATAATTGTGTAAATTGCATTTCAGTTGGCAGGTGGTGCTCTTGTTGGGGTTGGAATATGGATGGCAGTAGACAGAAACTTCTTGACGTCAATCATAGGCACAGCATTATACACAGTGGTGTGTGTAGTAATCATAGCGTGTGGAGCGATCTCATTGTTCATTGCATTCTTTGGATGCTGTGGGGCCATAAATGAGAACAGATGCATGTTAATGACCGTAAGTATTGTAGAAGGATACGAAGAAATAATACAAATACAATTTTACGAATATTCACTCTGCACTTGGGCGATTGAAAGAATTTACATCATAATATTTTATGGAGAAATAAACAAATCTAATTAAAAAATTGCAAAACAAGAAGAAAACGTAAGTATAGACATAGATACATTAATCACTGTGAACCCATATACATGTGCATGTTAGTGACTGTAGGTAAAGGGAAGTATGATTGGAAAAAGCAGAACCCATAACTTCAAAGATTTGTGGGTTTTGTTTTTTGGGGCCACCCTGTACATGAGCATGTTGATGATTGAAATGTATTTTTGCTTCATTTCCACTGTCGGATGAGTAAAAATACATGTATCATGCATATAAAATGAGACAATTTTAAAGAATTTAAAGTCTTGGTAGCTGTCAGAATACTTGTATTGTTTTGTTTATTTATTTTCAGGTAGAAATGACATTTGTTATAAATAATGAGTAAATATTATCTTCTGTTTTTCAGTATTTTGTGTTCCTCTTGGTAATTCTAATACTGTTGCTAGTAGGAGGCATCTTAGCTGTAGTCTTCAGAACAACTGTAAGTAGAATCCAATTTCATCATAAAAATTGCGCATTAAGTTCATTTTATTCTCAGAGTTTTACCTTTTACACTAAACTATTCATTGTGAATGGAGATCTGCCATTTTATGATTTTTATTTTTAAAATCCCACCTATTATTTTGTTCTTTTAGAACACTACAGTGCAGTGCATTGCAATTGCAGTCTGAGTACAGTGTGTTGCAATACAGTACAATTCAATACTGCACACTACAGTGCAATGCAATTCCAGATAATAGTGTGTAACAGTACAGTACAATTCAATACTGCACACTACAGTGCAATGCAATTGCAGATAATAGTGTGTAACAGTACAAAACAATTCAATACTGCACACTACAGTGCAATGCAATTTCAGATAATAGTGTGTAACAGTACAAAACAATTCAATACTGTACACTACAGTGCAATGCAATTCCAGATAATAGTGTGTAACAGTACAGTACAATTCAATACTGCACACTACAGTGCAATGCAATTGCAGATAATAGTGTGTAACAGTACAAAACAATTCAATACTGTACACTACAGTGCAATGCAATTCCAGATAATAGTGTGTAACAGTACAGTACAATTCAATACTGCACACTACAGTGCAATGCAATTGCAGATAATAGTGTGTAACAGTACAAAACAATTCAATACTGTACACTACAGTGCAATGCAATTGCAGATAATAGTGTGTAACAGTACAAAACAATTCAATACTGTACACTACAGTGCAATGCAATTTCAGATAATAGTGTGTAACAGTACAGTACAATTCAATACTGTACACTACAGTGCAATGCAATTCCAGATAATAGTGTGTAACAGTACATTACAATTCAATACTGCACACTACAGTGCAATGCAATTGCAGATAATAGTGTGTAACAGTACAAAACAATTCAATACTGTACACTACAGTGCAATGCAATTGCAGATAATAGTGTGTAACAGTACAAAACAATTCAATACTGTACACTACAGTGCAATGCAATTGCAGATAATAGTGTGTAACAGTACAGAACAATTCAATACTGTACACTACAGTGCAATGCAATTGCAGATAATAGTGTGTAACAGTACAAAACAATTCAATACTGTACACTACAGTGCAATGCAATTGCAGATAATAGTGTGTAACAGTACAGAACAATTCGATACTGTACATGACAGTGCAATGCAATTGCAGATAATAGTGTGTAACAGTACAGAACAATTCAATACTGTACACTACAGTGCAATGCAATTCCAGATAATAGTGTGTAACAGTACAGTACAATTCAATACTGCACACTACAGTGCAATGCAATTGCAGATAATAGTGTGTAACAGTACAAAACAATTCAATACTGTACACTACAGTGCAATGCAATTTCAGATAATAGCGTGTAACAGTACAGTACAATTCAATACTGCACACTACAGTGCAATGCAATTGCAGATAATAGTGTGTAACAGTACAAAACAATTCAATACTGCACACTACAGTGCAATGCAATTTCAGATAATAGTGTGTAACAGTACAGTACAATTCAATACTGTACACTACAGTGCAATGCAATTGCAGATAATAGTGTGTAACAGTACAGAACAATTCGATACTGTACATGACAGTGCAATGCAATTGCAGATAATAGTGTGTAACAGTACAGAACAATTCGATACTGTACACTACAGTGCAATGCAATTCCAGATAATAGTGTGTAACAGTACAGTACAATTCAATACTGCACACTACAGTGCAATGCAATTGCAGATAATAGTGTGTAACAGTACAAAACAATTCAATACTGTACACTACAGTGCAATGCAATTTCAGATAATAGCGTGTAACAGTACAGTACAATTCAATACTGCACACTACAGTGCAATGCAATTGCAGATAATAGTGTGTAACAGTACAAAACAATTCAATACTGCACACTACAGTGCAATGCAATTTCAGATAATAGTGTGTAACAGTACAGTACAATTCAATACTGTACACTACAGTGCAATGCAATTGCAGATAATAGTGTGTAACAGTACAGTACAATTCAATACTGTACACTACAGTGCAATGCAATTGCAGATAATAGTGTGTAACAGTACAGAACAATTCGATACTGTACATGACAGTGCAATGCAATTGCAGATAATAGTGTGTAACAGTACAGAACAATTCGATACTGTACATGACAGTGCAGTAGTGGGCAGGGTAGTAAAATACAGATAGACAACTGTATAGTGGCTTTATTGGTCAATAATTCTACATCTAAATATTAACACATATTTATACCTATTCCAGTTAACTAACAGTATGCAAAGTGCTATGGATGACTCCCTAAAGAACAGATATGGCTATAACTTGAATGAGGAATTGAATCAAGCAATCACACAGGGCTGGGATATGGCACAGGACAGAGTAAGCAATCAACATTTATTTGTTATTACATGCACATTATAGTGGTGGCTAGTTGAAACCAATTACATTTAGATACCTCATCAATAGCCTCATAAGGGCTGATTCCTTACAGATTTTCTGTAAAAATAAAAACTTACAAAACAATTAAGTAGACCAAATCTTTGAAACCCATGCATTATAATAGTAATCGCCATGGGATGGTTGATCCAAAAATGTTACGCCAAAAATGGCCTAACACACTACTACACATAATATTTCCTTTCCCCTTATGCGTTACATTTTGGAATTTTTGTATTACATCTTCATAAATCAGATCATATTTTGTGTTAAATATTTAATTAGGTTTGAAACATTATTCATTTGTCTTTTGTTTGTTTCCAGTTACAATGCTGTGCTATTGCAAATAAAGGTTGGAAAATTTATAGACAGACCAATTGGTACAAGTACTGGCCAGATCAGAGTAAGTTTTAATCTTCTATATAACCTTTACCATATAAGCGTCACAGCTTAGTGTCTGTAACAGTCATCGTATTTTTGTAACCATTTGAATTCTTCGATAAAATTTGTTTAATACGAAATTTTTACTGGCACAAGAACAGACTAGTACCAGCACCTGGTGAGATTACTGGTATGACTGGGTATTTACATGGTTGCAATGTTGAATTTTTCAGTAAATCTTGTCATCAACCGAAAACTGTAATTGGATTCAAATTAGATTTGTACATCTAGAGTGGATTAGCTTTTGTCTCAATGGTGTGACTCTAAATCTCCTGGTAGTTTTGCTCCTCAGGTGCAATTTATATCACTGTCTGTCTTGTCTTTATGTTTTAACATAATCACATGCATTTTGAGTACAATGTTTCATATCATGAATATTTTGATGATTAATATGACATTTGTACAAATCTTGAGGTTACCAGGGTCTAATTTTCATTAATCGTTAATTTACAATACTTTGCATGCTAAATGATTTTATCTTTAATTTCTGTTTTGAAAATAAAGCGATTTCTGTTTCCATCATTTTAATGTAATTGTACTGTTGTAAAACAACAAAACTGTTTACATGACAACACAATTCTTGAAAAAGACCTAAATTTCATACACCATTTGTAAATACAGTTACAGTTTATGTATAATCTAAATGCTATATTTCTTACAGACAACAAACCTTGGGTGCCTGAAAGTTGTTGTACGAAAGATGCTCAGTTTCGTTATTTGAACACCAAAATCTGTCAGTTTGGAACAGGAATGCCACCTGCTACGGAAACTGGTGCAAAGAATGACTACCTCCATTACACGGTATGTTCTACTGAATGCTTCATCAAAAGGAGGTCCTGACAGAGTAAAACATTATTCAATTTTGACCAAGATTGTATGGAATCCTTATATGGAACTCAAAAAACTAGGCAAAACTGGAAAACAGTTCTCAAAAATTTCTTTATTCTTTTAGGGGTGCTATGAAGCTGGAATTAACTTTTTATATCAGCATGCTTATATCATGATCGGACTAGGATTTGGGGTGATATTTTTACTGGTAAGTTACATTCAGAATTAATCAGTTTTATGTGATATATGAAATACTATAATAACAGCAAACTTTGGTGTGGGTTACTAATTTATAATTCAATGAATATCAAGAATACACATAACTAATATTCTTGTCTAATGAGACTTGCATACCCTCTTTATTGATTTTTATTTATCCTTTTGCTTAATGTAAATAGACATGGAATCTTTAACTTTTGGTTGTTTGACTGTGTAGACATAAATACTGCTATGATTAAAACCCTTGTGTAACTGTAATCACAGTACATCCTATCAGTTTTAGAGCCATTTTCTTGTGTAATTATAACTTGCTAACAAATTCCTCTCTGAGATTATGTAATTATAGTACTCTATAATCTATCCATTAAATAATCATTTCCACAACATTGAAATAAATTATGCCTTAACATTATCTTTTGATTAACATAAATTCTCATCTAAAAACATGCTTACAGGTGAATTTCTTAGTCATGCATAGAGGCACTATTTATCAGATATATTCATTCTGAGAAAACTCCAAAATTTCATAATTGAAATTTATTATTGCTGTTTTTGTTGTGCCTCTATGTTAATTTGAGACTAAACTATTTCTATTGCTATGTAATCATGCCTTTCGCGTTGAAATTAAACATGTTTCTATTGCAGATATTTGGACTTGTCATCACTTTTATGCTCATGAGACAGCTAGAACTCTAAGCATCACTATCAAGTATAAACCTCTCTCTCTCTTTTCTTATTCTGCACGCTGGCAGATTGTCATGCTTATTTAGTCCTGCATCAAACCCTTTTTCCGCCTCTTATAACAGCGCAACTTTTATCATTTGTTGGGTAGTTGGTAAAGGGGTCCAGACCATTGCTTATTAATATGTCACCACCAGAACTTTTTTGTGGATGGTGTTTGGCAGTTGGTGTTCAGGTTCAGCGACTGTAACAAATTCTTACTATTTCAAATAACTGGTGGCGACATTTTGTCATGTTAATGAATTGTTATAATAATATGATTGTCATGGTAATGAGGTACACAGCCAAAATAATTTGGCGCCGTTTCGGCATCGAAAACATTCGGCGCTGTTATGGCACCGTTTCGACACCGTTCCGGCACCGAAACCTTTGGACACCAAAATTTGCCACCGGACTAGTCAGTCTATTTGGTGCCGAAACAGCACCGAAATTTGGCACCGAAACAGCGTCGAAAATCAGATTGCATTTTGGGGGTGTATATAAGACAGACATATTATTATGTACAAGCTATTTCACTGCTACAAATTGAGTTTTTGTTGGAGTCAATGCATTGAAATGGTCAATTCTTTGAAATTGCTCAATGCTTTTGCTTTGTACATTGTTTCATAATAATATGATCATTCTAGCATTTTTTCTGATTCTGCATACAAATTTTCAATGAATAGAGTATGACATGAGCATTGGATTTACTGTTTAGCTCAGCAAGTATAATAGAATACATGGGACTTTGGTCTATAATAAAACTTTGATCTAGTCTTCATGATCCCCCATGTCAGTTAAGGATACAGAGAAAATGTATGCTTGAATCTGAAACCAAGTGATTCCAAACCAATATTTAATGTGAAAAAGGCACTGGTGAACTGGGATGATCATATCTATCTTAACTATTAAAATATATTCAAATATGTTATGTCCACAAAGGTGCTTGTGAAGTTTTCTTTATTTTGATGTCAACTTGAATGGACGATTTGGGTTCTTGGAAGAATGCTAAAACATTGTGCTTATACTTCAAATACCTTTACTTTGTACAGTATTTTAATGTTGGTTTTCTTGAGTCCAGTACTCAGCCACAGATCCCCTCGAATCAGAAATAGCCAAATGCTTTGAAGAAAGTACATTAATGAAAAAATGTTAATATTGTGCACAGGCAAATTACATCGGGCCCCGTACGAGCCTTGAGAATTATGAGTCATTACGGGCAAAAAGGAGCACCATCCTCGTACAGGCATGTACGGAGCTCGTTTTCGAGGCTCGTATGATGCTCGAAATTGTTGTTTTCGAGGCCCGAATGAGCATGTACCATGTTCGTAATTTTGAGGCTCGTACGAGGTCTGTTATTGAACTCCTTTATTGAACAAAAAAATTAATTGTTGTCATGCTACATGATTCACGTATCTATCCAGCACATGCTGTGTATGTTTAATCATTTCAGATTGATGTTTTTTTCACACATTCGATAACAATAACATTTATTTACATCACATTTCAACTTATTCCAATACCACACGTAAATGTTTTTATATGCATTTACTTCCCTTGTAGAGAAATATGGTGTCTCCATTGGTAACTCTGTTTTTTTGTTCTTAGCTTTTATACTGTTTATCATGTTGATACAGACATGCGAATATTTTGAAATTGTTGGAGACATATTAATTTACAATTAGATATAATTGAAATGTTATTTCTCAAGTATGCTGTATTTTATTTCATCGATCAAAAAGTGTTCACCAAAATAAACGAGCCTCGTTACGAGCCCCATACTGGAAAGTACAGTGCCCGAAAATTATGGGCCTTGTTGTGGCCATCGCACAGGCAAGTACAAGGCTCAAAATTACAAGCTCTGTACGGGTTTGTACGGGGTCCTATGTAATTTGCCTGTGTGTGTTTTTTTACTTCCCAAAATGCTTGTTGGAGACTGGCCTATTGATTTGTTTTACTTACTTTATTTATTGGATCCCTTATTGTTTCATGAGATTACAAATGAGGATCCACATTCGGAGGAAACACATTCATGTATGAGGATGTGGCATGTTTTGATTAGTTTCTTGCTTTTGTTGTTGTTGATAGGGTTAGCAATTTGGATATACAACATATATATTGTATCAACTTTTTATATTTTAAATTGAAGTACATGTACATTGAATGGTATTGTATGTTGTTCAGAAAGGTCCTTGTGATTACATTTTTTGAATTTTACTTTTGTTGCATTGCTCCAATTCTTAACTGAGTAATTGCTTTCAAATAAACCCAGCATTTAAAGATGATTGTGATAGCTTTTTGGGGTATGAAATGAAATGCATGTATGTGTCATTGTGATTATAAAATGTTTTATTCTTCTTTTGCAGATTGTTGGTATGATTTTCTCAATGTGCCTATATAGAAACTTGGACTAGATGGATGTATACATAGATACATGGCTCATTGCCCATAGATACATTACTCATTGCCCATAGATACATTACTCATTGCCCATAGATACAAGATGCATTGGCCATAGATAAAGGGCTCATTGCCATAGATTCAGTATTTGTAAATATTCCAACTTTAGGACTAGTCTACTTGATTGTTCAGGGATGTCATTGACTAAGTTGAACCCCACAAACATTAACATACTCAAAATTGAAGCTACCTATCAATATGTGTATGATAGAAGGGCCTACTATTGGAATATACAATTGATGAAATGTTGAATATCACCTTGACACCTTGTACTAAATGAACAAATTCAGTGCTGAGCAAACTGTCTTTGGCTGGTTGCCATTAACGCCATTGGAATTGAGGACCTGCTCTTTTCCGAAACAAATTATAGTATTTTGTCTCAATATGATCGAAAAAGTAAATTTTGGATTAGGTTTCACAGAAAAAATTATCCTTGGTTAGTAGTTATCTGAATCAGTATTTGTTCAAATATTTTTGATTACTTTGTACGGTAATCAAAATATGGGTAGGCAATAGGCAAATATAATGTTGCATGCATATGTATGACTGTTTCAATAGACATTTGAATTATTCAACATGAGATTTGAATGTGAATCAGTCATGTAATAGTAAATCACCATTTTACTCCTGCCATATGCATTTACAACACCAGTGTGGGAAATAAGCACCGGACAAAGCACAAATGTCGAGTCAGAAAAGAAATTTGTCCAGACTGTTTCAAACTGTGTATAGTAGTCAAAATTGTCCAGAGAGATTTTGCTGAGACATGAGATGATGAATTTTGTTTTACACATCAAATGAAAGAATATAAATTGGCCTTCCTCTGAGGAAGAAGTTGTAGACAAATGAAACAACGCAAAATATAAAATTCAATGGTGAACAATTTCAATCATTTTTTCCCCACCCCCTGTTTCTATGTATATATTATGTATTTTTTATTTTCAATACATTGACCAAGTACAAAAAATTGTCCAGTATGTTTTCAAACTATCTGGTCAAAATTTAGTTCAATGTCGTTGAAATTAATAACGGCATTCTTTACTGATCAGAATCTTCTTGGCCGTTATAAGACATGTCAGCCAAGAAACGAGGCCCCAGGCTAGGTCTAATGTTGTTGGACTGGTCAAAATTTTTACCAGTCAAAAAAAATGCTTATTTCCCACACTGCAAAACAAATTATGTACATATTCAATATTGAAAATATTTCAGATTTTATATTTCTAATAGTCATTCAACATAAATCATGGATATAAAAGTCTACTTTAAATTTATCATTCTGTGAAAAACCAAGGAGGATTGGCTCCCAGAGTGCAACATCGAAACAGTACAAAATTTGAATTCTAACAGCTGCCATTTTGTTCACTTCAACATTTGAATCATGAATTTTGGTCTTATTACCCAACGAAAAATTCCAAAACTTACAAGAAATGATCGAGATATTAGTTCGAATCTTTGGAACTGTTTATTTCGAATTTATAATCGTTATAATTTCAGAAAATAACGACATTTCAGCGTTTTCATTGTTCGAAAATATCGACTTCGATTCTGGGAGCCAATCCTCCAACCAATTAACCTAGATATGTCATTATTTCCATATATTATACATGTATATTGGTTTAGTAGTTAGTGTACATAGGAATAAGTTGAATCATGTAATCATATTTTTGCAATATACAACACATATCAATGAAACAACATATCAGAGATTTAACCAGAAATATGTATTTTTAGAAAAAACTAAGGCACCTAATTTATGTTTGATGTGAAATCATATTCTCCATGCTTACTGTATTTTAGTTTTTTGAAGAGTTAAACGGTATCCTGGTTTACCTCTTTAAATGCATTGCATTTTGATATGTGAATAAGAATAATCTCATAACTGCTTTAAAAACAGGGGGAAGGATGTGACATATTTTGGTGTGACATATTTTGAAATAAAAGGAGTAAACAGTTTGGAACATTGGCACATAAGGAAAATGGGAAATGGGATCCTGAAATATATGTTAAAAAAATAAGAGGTAATATTATATGAGGGGAAAATAGATAATATATTATAAACCCATTCACCCCTTACCCTTACTACAAAAAAAAATTATTATGACAATTCCAGTCTGGTTTAAGTCGATGATTTTCAAATAGAAGAATCATGTAAAAATTATTGTAATATTTTGTAAATATGAAATAGTAATATTACAGTAGTATTTTTAATGTTTTGTAGCCAGTATATTTTAATAGTAAATGTAGTAGCATGCCAATTAATGTTATGATTCTGAACTGTACATGTATTTTGAAGAATGTTTCCACATGTACTCTTACAGCTGTAGAAGAATTAATTTTGACTCATTGTACATTAAACATTATCTCCCACATTGTAGACTATAATCAGCAATGTTTTTATACATTTAAGTTAACATTAAAAATAATGTTTAAAACAAAATTAAAAATTTGTGTTTGTTGAAGTTTATCCTACATTCATGTGAATTAATAGAAGGTACATTGAGAAGCTGGATTGCTAACTGGCCTTCATTATTAAAGCCTGGGAGCCTATGTGTTATCTTCACATTTTTAGTTCTCATCCATATCCTTAAACTGTTTTTTTTTCAATTCGATATGACATGTAACTTACACAAATCAATAGACTACTACTTGAATACACACCTTTTCTAAAATATTGAGCTCGAACAGAATCCTCACTTAGTAAGCAATGCAAGCTCCAAAAAATCAAGTTTCAAAACAATTTAAGTGATTGATAAATTGTAACAGTAATTCCTTGCTATATATTTTGGCTCAAAGTTGTCAAAGAAAATCCAATTAAAGAATACTGCCTGTTAGATATTTAGTTTTCAAATAAAGCAATAGAGTAATGAATTTTGCAATTTTACTTTGATGAGAATTGAATCAATGTAACAGAAATGCAACAGTGACTAAATAGATGTACATTGCAGCTTTATTTGGAATTGCAAATTCTTAACCACCACTCCAGTATATTCTTCATAGCTCACGGTGGGGAATCAAAACGATGGCGCTGCCGCGGATTGCGACTCGCGTAATCCAAAAAGAGCTAACAGCGCATTATTGCTGTACAATGCTAGTAAATCCAAACTTAATTTGGGGAGAGATTTGGGGTAAATCGTTGCTTTTGATGAACCACACAGGAGCAGCTATGTCCCAGTCGGTGATCAACATACATATACTCCACCTTCAATAGCACTCATGTTGCTCGGCTATCCAATAGCTCAGTACGTATGAACATTCGAAATCTGCCACAAAAAGTAGTTTTGTAAAGTTTTGTCCCTCACATACCGATTTAAACAAAGGAATCAGAAATATCATCGCATTGTTATAAAAATTCAAGTACTGTTGGCACAATTACACTTCGTGTGATCTTTAGTTAGCGGAAAACGTACCATTACTGAGAAGTTAGAATAGTCACAGTCCATCCATCTGCCCAACGCAGTACGATACTCGGTGTTGCTCTATGAATAAACCTCAACGCAAGCAGAGCCCAGCCAAAGGTTGATAGGACAATTAGTAAATGTGGGTGAAATAAAGCAAATTTCTCCTAAAATATGATATCATTTTAGCCGCTAGCCGTTATTCGATTCGGAAATACAAGCTTAGTTCTCAATTCTTCGGACCTTATCGTCACTTGTTCTTTGCATGTATTAAACTCTTGTGATGGTGTATTATATGAAATCCTAATTTTGATCATATGTGGTCGTGAATCGCCACAATATACCGTCTTCCATATCGTTGACGACAACAGAATCTAAATTTCATATTATAGACAGAGATACATGGTAAGATGTGACAACGGACTCGGTATATATTGCATTGGAACATAAGAGAAAGACAACGGGAACTAGATGCATTACCGTTGTCTTTCTAGATAATATTACCGTTGTCATTTTACAGCACATTTGACCCACATTTACCGTTGTCATTTATATCCGTTGTCCCGTGTGATATTTTCATCGGTAAAATTTAAGGCTTTATTTTGAAAGTAGATTGTATTCAACTATACGATGAGTAGAAAGACACTTTGATTGATGTATATAAATTCATTGACTGATTGTGTTACGTGGTAAACACGATACAAATATATATATTCCGCAGCGAATATGGCAAATTCACTTGCCATGTATGACAGATTCACCTGCGGTATATGGCATACACACTGACCAATTAGAACGGAAATACGCAATTGTCAATTACATCGATTCAATGAACGGGGTAAAGTCTATAAATTATTATAATGATTACTGAATCAACATGTCAGTGCATTGAATATATCAACTAATACAATTGAATAACATACACCAGTGGTACCTGTATTGTTTGATGTTATTTTATGTACTGTATGTGTTACACGCAAAACACACTTCAAGGGAAACATTATTACGCATAAGTAATCGAACCTACGTTCGTGAAGCTTATACTGCCTTTTATAACCAAACCAACAGTTGACAAAAAAGCCAGATAAAAACCTAAAAAATCACGAGTGTTTAAAGTTGTATTGGCAATCACGATTTACACATTTCTGATACTTTCAGGATTATCATTCAGCAATTACACGTAGTAAACGTACTTAATCATTATTAGCACTCGAAGCGCTAACTATATTTACTTAGGGACCCAGCCTGAATATTTTTGTTTTTGAATATTGGAGAGTATTACGCGAGATTTTTTCATTTTCTTGTTGGAAAATATATTTATTTTATGATGTGGGGTGATATCTAGAGTTTGAGGCTTGCGAAAATAAGATATCCTCACCTTTATACCCCCACCCTATAATTTCAGGGGGGTCAGAAGAAAATAAACTTTAATTCATAACTTTGGAAGTAAATGAGATACAAACTTCATTTTTTCACCATAATTTATAGAATAACATCAGTAATGCAGAAAAAATATATCAAACGAAAATAAGCTAATTTGCATAATTTAACCCTTAAACCGCCATAAAAACTATTAAATAACGGAATGATAATAAACAACTTTTATTGTAATTGCCTTCATATGAAGTTATAACTTATGAAATAATTCCTAAAAATGCATCTATATATGTATATTAGATGTGCAAAATATTAAAAGTGTATCTTACATAACGACTGTGAAAAATATTTCTCCCCTTACCCTAAAAT